CCAGAAACTAGTATTGATTTCTTATAGAAGACGCAAGCCAGCAATGCGAGCTTTAGAGCATAGAGCTGCATAACTGCCAGCACTAAATCAAGTTGCTGTGTAGTTTGTTGTAGTTGGATGTATCTCAACTTGTTGTACAACAAGCAGACAATACAGTGTAACCGTTGACTGGTCTCTATGGCATGTGACTGAGGCCCTAGCAACATCTGGCGATGCCAAGGACTAATTTCTGCAACCAGCTGACATGAATAATGAAGCTACCCCGGCAGCAGATCTAGATGTTTATTCTATCCTACTGCAGAGTCTAACGACAGTATACACAAACAGTGGTTACTCTCTTGTCCGTATGAAAATTGCTATGTTAACTCAAAATCACCCCCTTAATTACAAAGTAATATTACAAGAATGTAAGGGACAGGGCTAGATAGAGAGATTGCTACTTTCTCTGCAACATAATGTATTAATACGGTTAATATTATTATTATTTTGCTTATTATATCAGTTGATTTAAAAACGAAAAGTTTTAAAACTAACAACCAGACAAATTGCACATTTAAAGGATAAAAAACAAGAGCACGTACAGCTAAGCATCATCAAAATGAAAATTCTACACAGTGGCAACCCAACTCTGCCACATATTTATAAATTTTACGTGATCAGAAGAGAAGCATTTATTTAATGAGGCCCAACCTCTAGTTCTTCTCTCTGCTTAGGAGTCATGATTTCCAAGGCTGTCACAACCAGCCAGCTGCATTTGTTGTCCTGAATGTCTGTGCCAATCTTTCCTGTCACAGCAGGGTCACCGTAACAGTCCAAGTAATCATCCTGTGACAGAATACATCAGATGGTCATTAAAACAGAATAGTCAGCAGCGTATTATGCAACACGTGCAGCTAACGAATGGGAAATATTATGCTATGAAGGTCAATGATGAGGAAAAGTAGCTACTTGTATTTGAAAGAACTCCCCCATCTCAAGTAAGATGTGCTTGGCGTTGCTGTGCTCTTCTTCACTGTTGATTCCTGCCTGGAAAAGAAAAAAGGTACAAAGAGTGTTTTAAAGCTGTATTATTTTACCTCCATTTTTATGCAACATGAAGTTGACACACTCACCATATACATCGCAGCTGCCACTGGGAGGTAAAATGAATAAAAGGCAGTCTTGTATTTTACGATTGCTTTATACCTTAAAGACAAAAAAAAGAAAAAGAAATAAATACTTATTGCAATAAACAACACTCATCTTTCAACACTCTCTCCCCTTCTGACCTTTCGATGGTGAATCTGTTGAGGTCAATTTGTCTGGGTGGAGCAGTCATGAGATCCAGAGCCTGACCGAGTTCTGTCTGGAAAGTGACCTGAGGGGAAAAGAAAGAAGAAAACACACAAGGTAAGTAAAAACTCACAAGTACTTGAGTTTCTGAAATAACTGTTCGGTCACTTAATAAGCAAATGTTTTGACAGCTGATGAATAATTTGAGAGATTTTAATTAAAGAATTAGGAAACTGTGTTGAAAATTTTGTGGTTAGTTTGTATGACAATCTAAACATGCAGGCTGATTAAATTGGTTGGCTGAACAAAACACACATCAGCAAGATGACAGTGTTGGCTTGAGGAAAATGTTGTAAAGGACATTTTTTCTCTTCCCTCTATGGCAGCTGGGAAAGGCTCCAGCCACCTCCCCACTGCCACGAACGGGATAAGCGGTAAAGAAAATGGATTGAAGGATGTTTTGCATTTTCTGAGGAGTAGTTTGTGGACAGTGGACAATGCTGAAGATGACTAAGTGTTGAGCCGGATTTAACTATGCAATAATATATTGCTCAAGCTGGACATTTGAGTGAAATCATGCGTAACCACAGTCATAACCTCTTCAGCAGTCTCTCGGTTGGCTTTTAAGAGCCGTTACTGCATACATTTTACGAACGAAGTGATGAATTTGCTGCCAGATGCACAAGCACACTTTCAGCCAAGAAGACTCACTTCGTTGAACAGCTCCAGGAGGTGAATATAGTAGGGCTGATCTCTGCAATATCTGCGAAGCAGTCTGTAGATTGACCCCTCTAACAGAAAGGAATCATTAATGGCATCCAGACCTATACCATCCTAAAAAAAAACAAAAACAAGCAAACCAACAGGTAGGATTTATATAGGTAACCAGAGGGAAGTGGGAAAATAACCACAGCACAAACTCATACTAGTCTCCTTTTCTGGAATATATTAAGTCTCACCTTCTTGTACCAGCAGGGTTGCCCTCTCCGAGTGACAGATCCATCCATGATGTCATCTGCCACGAGGAAAAATGCTTGAAGCTGCAAGTATCAGACACACAGTGGCAACACCTAAATTAGAAAATGTAGCACTTGTGCAAAGTGTTAAAAGCTACAGTCAAGAGTCTGCTTGTGAGAGAAAGTTTTAAAGACACACAACCTGCATATTCCAGCTACCTTCCTGTCAATTTAGTAAAATCCAGCCTCAACAATGATTAAAGATAAATCACGATTAAACATGATTACAGATGAGGATAGTGTAAAGTTACTGGTTAAAGTAGTAATGATATTGTTTGTACTGCTTATTGTGGTCCCAAGCCCCTACTGAAGATTGCAGACTTTAAAGGAGGTCATAACTATGTAGTGCAATCTTTTAAAGCAGCTTAACATCTTAATGCTTAATTAGGTTGGAACAGAATTAAAATCACCTGTGACCGACACTGACTTTTAATGGGTAAAAAATTAATGAAATACTGTCAAGACTTTTAATTTAGCACGCCATACCAAACCCTCACCAGTTCAATGCACCAGCCGACCAACAGAGCCCGCTGCACGGTGTCCTGGGTAAGCTGGGAGGGCGGGACAAGCTCCCTGAGTGAGCCAATCACAGAAAGGCCTCGGTTCCTCTTTCCTCCAGGAGTGTTGTATACCAAAACCTCAAACAAAAACACATATGAACATCTACATCTCATTGTCCCATTCTGCTAAATGAAAAAAAGAGACCAGTCATACATACTTACCTCTCTCAGTCTTTTCAATGCGTCTGCCAGCACGGGATCTGTAAAGTCTCTCTCTGTGAGCTCTGTGACGAGCTCCTCAAACTGGTCTTCAAACAGCTGAGGGTCTGAAAGCAGAGCCTTCTTGTTGTGCGTCCCATTGCAAACTCTGTCTCCCTGCAAAGACGAGATGCACAGCAGGTGAGAGGTGTTTCTTGGCCCGAGGGGGGACACGGTCAGCCAAACGGTCCGGATAATTTTATGGGCACTGGAGACCCAGCTCAGCAAGCGTCTCATTACCCTTCAACCGTGCAATTGTGCCGACCAGTAACAAACGTTTCTATAGGTAAAGGTAAATCACATGGTTGCTCCAGATGAAGATCAACCAGGTGACTGTAACACTACCAGGTTACTTTAACACTACTAGGCCATGGTCTATCCGGCAGAGTGGATTAAGCTAAAGAGAAACTATTATTAGCTAGCTAGTTCCGTTATCATGAAAAGAAGCGTTTGCTGACTTTAGCTTACATCGTTTTCCTTCATTCACTCTGTCTTCTAGGCTAGTTATAATATAACGAATGAAAATGTTTCTTATTCATACAAATGCCTTTACTCACCATAATAACACCGCCCTGTAATCCCAGACTGCACGATGTAATACAGTATAAAATGCCGGTCTTCACTTTCTCAGTCTTGTTGTCAAACTGGAGTCTGTGAACGTCTCCTAAAACCAGGATATCAGACTGTAGTTTGCTGTCGCGCTGCTGTCTGTTTTATTACACCGCAGTCGAACTAAATGTCCCAGTGTTCCTTGCGAGTGGTTAAATATGGGCGGAGATTTTAAAAGGCTCCATTTGACATTAAGGGGTTTCATTGGTTTGGTGCATCGAACCAGGATGGGCTTTCACAATGGCTAACCAATAGGACTTGAGAAGAGGCGGAGCCTAGGTGGGGTGGCAAGAGTGGAGAGAGGAGTATGATAAAGCAAATGAAGAAATTTCTATACTGTATTATAGTACACAGTAGTATACAGTATATAAGAAAATTATATGATCCTATTCAGTACATAGATAATTTCTATACTGTATTTTTAAAATAATATATTATATCCTAGTTTGTACTTATATACAACACAGGTATTTTACAGTGTCTTGAGCCACTCCTCATTTCTTTCTATTTTGCTTGCGTGGAGCAAGTAATTTTTTAAAGTGATCTTGAGCAATAGCTGAAGCTTTTTTAAAGGTTTGTTTTTCCTTGGACATTGACCACCTTTTCGTTAATTTTCAGTCCAGTCATTGTATCTTGCCATTTTGAGATTATTATTATTATAAATATTACTTTATTTTATTGTTTGTTAATCCAATTTAATCTGACCGGATTCAAGCATAAAAATGCACCTAACGCATGAGATGAACCAATGTTGTGTCTACACATACCAGACAACTTGGCAAAGAAACAGTTTTAAATTGTATCTTGAGGCTCTTTGTTACTTGCAGTCTCTTGGAAAATAACACAATTTGTTCTTATTTCTTAAGCTGAATCTGGAAAACAGGTCTTTTGATCCAACATTCAATACCATTTGGAAAGTATCTGATTTGGTTAAAAACTTATTTTTTTCAGCACGACAGTGAAACCAAATACACTGCCAATGCATTACAAGCATACCTGGATAAAAAAACACACACATGATTAGTCATGGACTGGCCTCCTCAGAGCCGTGGCTTTATGTTGATAGAGAATTAAATGAAAAAGCAGCCAACACCCAAAGAAAAGATTTGATTGTCCTTCTAGAAGCATGGACAACAATCCTTCAAGACTACATAAGAAATTATAAGAAATCTTGCCTAAGAGAGTTCTGGCTCTGTTGTATATTTAATATTAGCTAAATAATAGCTGCTTAAAATTGACCTTATACACTGTATTTCCATTTATGTTTGCATATATTTCAATAAAACACTGAAGCTACTTTACAGTTTACTAGCAAAATCTAAATAAATGAGGAGTTGCTGAAGACTTTTGCACAACACTGCATTTTGTCTATCATTTATTTCATTTCATGAAATACATTGACACTGCATTTAAAATCTGGAATAGGTGTCATACTTAGATTACATTTATTGTTCAGATCTCAAGGCTCTGTCCTGTTAAGCCTGCAATACAGATATACATTTCTTGAAATAAATTATGTTTTATGCAAGACAGGAGGTAGAAACACAGCTCAGTGCCTTTATAGGTGTATGCATGTGCCTGTAAGTGTGTATGTGTGTAAATCTTTAAACTTAGTTACATACGTATGAGTGTATCCAAAATGTGCCTTTACTGATACGTATTCAGTATCATCACTTGGTGAGCACACCAGAAAGTCTTTCTAAAGAAAAAAAGAAATCCAATCTGATACAAATATATTATTACACTTCAAAATTCAGTACCCAGAGCTGCCAGACCCATCATAAATTCCCTGTCATGAGAGTATCTGGAAGATTTTCTTTTTGTTTTGTCGTTCAACTAACCCCCAGCAACCCGTAGAGTCCACAGGGACATGTGCTAACACATTTTGTGAAGCCTGACCACTTAATCAATTTATCTGTACATTTACTGCGAGAGACTCTTCATATCATCGGAGTACAAGTTACACCTATTTATCTTACAGGATCAAGCTGCTTTAGCCAGTGTCACATATTGAAACTCGATTAAAATCAAATTGGATACAGAGGCATGTTTGGAGCCCGTGGGAGCGCTGCAGATCCTTGTCCTTAGAGCTAGCTATTAAAACAAATACATTGTAACTGCCGACTATCACAGGTCTTGGGTGCAAGGGGAGGAAAAAAAAGGAAGCATAGTCAAAACATGCAGATAAAGACATTCTGAAGGACATGTTACTTAATTACACAGACAGTCAGGATTCAATGCACAAGGTTTCTGCTGTATCGCCGGTTGTAGCAAAACATGCGCACGGGCAAACGAAATGACCGTGTCCAGGGGCCACCCACAGAGAGTACATTTCACAGGCTGAGCCTGTGTCTGTGGCGTGCACTAATGTCAGTGTCTGAATGCTGGCTGCCATCGTGTAGGTGGAAAAAGTGTGACTGAATTAGAAAAACACAAAATTAGCAACTCAGTAATGTGAAAGCATTTCTCATGTGTTGTCTGTTTATCTTACATTGTACTCAGCTGACTATATGATGATGCATTTTGTTTAATCAATGGAAGACAAAGTAAGAGCTTTCCTTGATCACTTCACCTGAGCGATCCCGTGAATGAATAGCAATGTACAAAAGGGCCAGATGCATATTGCAACCCATTGTGTAACAGACTGAGATTAAAAGTAAGTGTAAGTAAATCTGAATGCTAGTTGAGTTCCATTTCCAGTCAGAGTTAGGAGCTCATTGGTGTGGCAGAAAAGATGCTTCTGGTAGGTTGATCTTGGCCAATAGGTTCTCTAAAGAGAGCCCATCAGAAATAAACATCTACAGAGCACTGCACTGCTGTTGATCTGTGAGGGAGCTCTAAGATGTTGTTCACATGATAAAGAGCACCACTAAGTAAGGCCATTTGCACAGCTTGCTCCAAGAAACGGAAGTGAATAAGAGACAAAGGAGGGAATAATATCTCAATAGGCTTCTAGCTATTTCCCCCTACAGCCTTGTCATCTTGCGTTCCACCTATTTTCCTCCTCCACCCCTCCTTCACTCTCCTCTTCTTTTCACAGTGCAGACTCTGAGTAGAGAGTTCCCGATGACCCATGTGGTGCATGAGGTGTCACTAGTCGACGCAGTGATGCTGAGGAGGAGAAGCTTAAATCTCCACAGCTGCGCAGGTGGATCCCTTCAGGCGCCCGGCTGCTGTAGTGTCGGTTGTGACGACTGTCACTGTGGGAATGGTGATGTCCGCGTCGATGAGGATGATGGGAATGATGGTTGGCTTGTCCGCGGCTTGTGCTCCAAGGCGTTCGCAACACCTGAAGATATTTTTATGAAGTTGTGAGAAAGGGCAGAAGGTTTGCTGCAAAGTGACATAACAGCGTAATCAGGACTTCTTTTTATACCTGCTCCAAGGGCAAGTGGTTGGCACCCTCAGCTCCACTCCTTCTCTTAGGTCCCTGCCCTGCGCTGCCAGCATGCTCAGATGGGGGTGCCAGGTTACGTTTGGAGCGCTGCAAGAAGCGAGCCACCAGAACCCGAGTGACCTGACGGAAACACGAGGAGATCAGAGAATGAGCAGACTGCACAGCCGTTCATATTTGCCACCTTACTGCTCCTGTAACTTCCTTCAAGAATTTTTTTTGACTTGCCTTAAGGTCTCCGAGAGAACGGTGGCAGTCTTTAGGTAAACGTAACGGTGAAGTGGGTGCAGGTTTGGAGGGGACCTGCACCCCCGTGGCTGCTAATTTGATGCTGCCTTTTCTGGGCAGAGCAGCAACCGGAGGCACAGAAGTGCGGGGCAACAGACACGCTTCAGAGGATGGGCCTTTGCATAAGAAGAAAAAGAAAATGTTACATGCAGAGCTATAATATCCTTTTAGCTGATCCAGCAGCAGAGTTTCCAGGTCTGTGTGACAAAACAAGCCCAATGCCAAGTCAAAAATATCCTTAAAAAACAGACACAGGCACAGAGCTGTGCAGACCATTATAGCAACTTGCATAATGCTGATCTGCAGGGGGCTAAGTATGAATAAATTATCTATCTATCCATCCTCCCATCCAATCCCAGCTGTCATAGGGCAAAAGGCAAGGTACACCTTAGAAAAGTTGCCAGGGGCAGGCCCATTTACTTGATTTAAAATATGGATCTCTGTTCACTCTAGACATTCAGCTAATTTCACCCAACCAGCAGACAGAAAAAAATGTGACTGCAGCAGTATATAGTAGTTGCAGTCTGATTGGCGAGATGCCACAGGAAAACTGTAGATCCCTCCACAGTACAGTACAATATGTGTTGATATTTTTATTCTTGCTGTATAATCTATATAAATAAAGATGTAGGCAGAGTCCAAGACAAAATTGCAAACCAAAAAGTCCTGAGCTGATAGAAAAACAAAATGGTGAAAAACAACCTTAACATATACTTAGAAAGGTTGGAAGTGAGGGAAACAACATACAGGTAGACATAGCTGAAATTTAACAGCTAAATTACAAACATTCTGACTTTTGCTGCATAAAAAAAGCAGATGAAACAGCTGCAAAAACACAAATATTGCTGCTGATGATTCAAAGAGGTATAGTGTATATAGACTGTAGGAAGTGCTGCATGGTATTACAGAATGTACCAGACTGTCCCCCTGACTAGACAGTAAAGAGCATACTATTTAGTGTGTCTGATGGAATAATCTCCCATAATAAATTAGGCTACCTAAAATCTTATGCCTGTGATAGTGACATTAAGGCCTGTATCATGGATAATCATGGATTATTGCATTTTTCCATGACGTACTGTATCCATGACTTTGCTGCTTGAGCATCCATCCATTGGGGTCTGTCATTTGAAAAAGAAAATGCAGATAAGAAGGCACATTACTGTTTCCACAAAGTGATGTCATTTATCAATATGTAATCAAATCACTGCTAATTTTGATGTTCTGGAAAAGTTTCATAAATCACGTGCACATGGGGCTAGATCTCCATGTCTCCTCTGAAGCGTACGTTTCCAGTCGTTGCTAAGAGGCTTTGATGAATGAGGGCAATTAGCGGTAAATGAGCTGAGCTATGTCTGATCAAAACAACTGAGACATGATCTCTTTTGGGGTTTCTCCTTCTAATTAGACAATCTCAAGTAAAGAGGAAGAAAGGATGACAGAGGTGGTGATGAAATGCAGCAAAGGTTCAGCTCTTTAACTAAGAACATTTGTACATCACACTGCCTGATAACGTTTATCTCATCTTTAAGGTCCATAGGAGTGAGCTCTTACCTGTGTCTATAGATGCCTTGCTGCTTCCAGAGCCAAAGTCAACTAGAGAAATGTAAGTTCAGACAGGTTATGGGATCTATAAAGCTAGTTTAAGACATGTGTTTACGTTGGTGTCTGACTTACCTCTCTCAGTTGAGGAGCCCAGACCTGGCTCACTGTGTGACCTCACAAGGCGTAGGAAGCCTTCCCGGTCTTTTTGTACATTCTCTCCATCTCTTTCATTCTTCCCAGCTCTCCGGTGAAGATACAGGGGTTGGTGCAGATGGGGTTGCTCACTGGTAGCAGAGGAGGATGAGGTAAGGGGAGCAGAAGAGGCTGGGATGGCTCCTTGGACTGAAGGGGTGGAGGGGCGAACTCGAATCTCTGGGATCGAGGATTGGTGTTGAGAGGTGCAACTCCCTACTGCTTCCAGCTGGGAACAGCTACTAGCCAGGATGGTCTGGCGCCGCAACACTGGAGACCTGGATGACAAAACCGGAAAATGTCAAAACATATGTTGGCATGTGTTTGCAGTTTCAACTTCTGATTTTAACCCGGCATCAGACGTTTGCACTCACCTGTATGTGGTGGTGGCTGTGCTGGGTGAGGAGCAGGAGTTGGACCGCTCTCCTCTGAGGAATCGCCTGGATCTCGGCCCTCCTGCCAGAGGACTCTCTGGTGTTTGACATGGTGGGCCACCTAAGTTGATATACTCCCTACCATCTCCTCCGTCTCCACCCTCACTAGCGTTCCTGTTACGCCTCTCCCCTTGGTTTCTCAGCCCAACCTCCAAGAGGCAGGAGTCCTCAGAGGGGGAGGAATCATCAGGGATGTCCACAATCTCTGACATTAACAGAGATCCACTGTCCATAGACACTAAGAAAAAAAGGTAATCCTTTATTATGTAGGGAAAATGTTACATTTTGATTTCATTTATAGGACTTTTTAAGTAATCTAAGAAAACTCCTTACTATACCTCAGCAATAATATTGTCAGTAAAAATTATGACTTAATGCTTTTTTTGTTTTCTGTTGTACAACACTGCACAGAGTTTGTGGAGTTTTAATGAGCTTGAAAGCGAAAATTTGATATGACCACCTTACTTCTTCAACATAGCCTGAAATCTTTTTACGCGAGCTTTCTTGGCATTTATTTAAGTAGTGTTCAGGAATAGTTCTAGGATTTTTGAGGGACATTCAAAGCTCTTCTTTGGCTGTTGGCTGCCTTTTGATCCATTTACTGTCGAGATGATCCCAAACTGCTTCAATAATGTTGAGTTCTGGGCTCTGAGGAGGTCAGCCTGCAATTGAGTGTTCCCTTGTGTGTTTTTCTATCCAGGTGTGGTTTCACTCCATTGGCAGTGTGTTTGAGATCATTGTCATGCTGGAGAATGAGCCGTTACCAATCAGAAGTTTCCAGTTGGTGTTGCATGGTGGATCAAAATTCTAGGGTACTTCTGTGTGATCATATTTTCATTAGTTTTGGGAAGATCACCAACACCTGTGGCTGAACTGCAGCCCCAAACCATTGCAGAGCTTCAACCATAATTTACAGGCAGCTGTAGATCATTGTACCCAACTTCCTCTGTACATATTATTGATGATTTGAACCAACGACTTCACATTTGGATTCATCACTCAATAAGACCTAATGCCACTGATTTTCTGTCCAGTTCTTGTGTAACTTGGCATACCTCAGCCTTTTGTCCCTGTTTCCCTTGCTTAACAATGACTTCTTGACAGCCAGACTTCCACTGAGACCATTTCTGATGAGGCTTCACTTCTCTTTGGGAATCACCTTGTTGGTGGAAAAATATTGTGTGAACAAATGATCAGTTTTTTTGTGTCAGGCTGTTAATAACAAAGTGTCTAAAGACACAGTTAAAAATGGATTCTTTGTTAAGTTCTCTGTTATGTGCAGATACAACACTAGTTCATCCCTTGAATTAGGAGGCTTTTCATGCCTGAATGGTCAGTCTTAAGAGGCATGATAAGCATAACCTTAACCCTAACCCCATAAATAAACATTAATCTGAAAATGGTCAGGTAGAAACGGGACTGAAAATAAGTGGCAAAGGAACCAATCCTCAAATAAACACTTTGCAAGAACTTCAGAAAGCCTGGAGAAATATTCCTTATGATCACTGAAAAAAAAGAGACAATATGTGGCTCCTTGGAGCAAAATATAAAGAAATGAGAGGTGGTGCAAGACTTTTACACACTGCTTTATGTTTCATTTTCAGTTTGTCTTAATTTGAAATATAGATCTGATTAATTCAATATATTTACTGTCAGTGAATACTGATTTTAGTACATTGCTGACATTTGAAAAACGTCACTGGCAGATGAGGTTTAACACTTGTATTTAATCCAATATAAAATTAACCACACTTTATTTTTATTTTTATTTCTTTCTTTACTCTAGCATGTAGTTTAAAAAAAGTATCTGTCCATCTTGTGGCTGTAGAGATGTCGACCTTTCTGTTGAATTGCACTAGATGGCACTTGGCTTGCAGTGCACAAAGGAACAAAAAATGGAAGAAAAGAAAAAAACAACCCAAAAATTATGTAATGTCATAACAACAGTACTGTCCCATTTCTGACATTATGACGAACAAAAGAAGAAAAAGATAGACAGAGTTCACACCAGTCATATTTTTTAATAGCAGGTTAACACTGGTGTACCTAAATCATCTGTTTGTGTACCTGTTTAGAACAGAGTATTATTAATATTATTAGTAACACCTATATTAAAATGCTATCTTGTATGGCTTGAAAACTGCTTTAATTAAAATATGTGTATTAATGTTTTGGTCTTTTTACAATCATGTAAGCAAGGTGTTACATCCTGTGAGGACGTGGGAGTGTGTGGGCGTGGTGTTGTCCTCTCCCTTTCCTCCTCCTTCTTTCTTGCCCCTCCCCTTGTCTCTCTCTGTCCCTGCCTTCTCCTTTAGGACACACCTGCTGCTCATTTGCCCTTGTTGACCACCAATTACCCTCAGAGGTGATATAAGCTGGAGGAGAGCAGTGTGGATGTGGGAGAGACTTCTGGTGGTTTTCCCCCTCTGTGCTGGTCAGTGTGTGATACTGGTCAGTGTGTGATACTGGTCAGTGTGTGATACTGGTCAGTGTGTGATACTGGTCAGTGTGTGATACTGGTCAGTGTGTGATACTGGTCTAGGTGTGGAAAAGGCCTGCGGTGTGTGACCAGCCCCACTGTGTGTGGCTCTTTGTGAGTAGCTCTTAACTGAACAGTGGTTTTCCTTAAGTGTCGGTGGCCTCCATTATTTTGTTTGGCCTGCCTAGTAATTGCTAATACCAGCGTTGCTGTCTTTTTCTGTTGAAGCCTTATAGTTGTTTTCTTTGTTGAAGTGGTCACCATCTCTTTGGGTTGGACTGTCTGATTTATCATTAAAGCAGCGTTGCTGTCTCTTTTTGTTGTTACTGTTTATATGAATATTGAGTTAATTGATTATAATAAAGATTTATTTTGTGTTCAATACCTCTGCCTGCCGTTCTTTTCATTTCAACCTGGATCCAATTGTTACCGTCCCCCACCCTCTTCGCCTACACAAGGCTAAATAAAAATCTGTATATTTGGTTTGGGAGTGAAGTACCCCTTCAAGTTTGGAACTAGTTTTTAAAATGATAATTATGTTGATTTTTAGTAACTTTTTCTAATAATTTTCTAATAATAGTTGTTTTTTAATATTCCAAATGCAAATGGCTCCTTAAAACATATATTCCATTAGCTAACCTTCTCCACTGAAGGCGGTGGAAGTTCCTCTCTCTCCAGACAGCTCAGTGCCGTGGGGGTCAAACACTGTGGCCTTGATAGTCACAAAAGACAAAGATCAGCTTCTCACTAAGTCCATCACACAAACACATACAAGTACACACATACTTACCTGGCTGGCAGCTCTCTGTCCCATCACAGCTTCGTAAGGAGGAGGGCAGTCAGTGGGGTAGAGGGGAACGGGGCTCTCCATGGAGCCATTATAGGTGATGCTAAATGTGGATTCAAAAATATCAATCATTTGGTTTTACAAAATGTAGCCTAATCATGTAAGTGAATGGCTACTAAATGTCGAACACAAGTGATATTGATGCATTTTAAGTGCATGTTTAGTACCTCTGAGCATCTGTCTCAGAGCTGCAGGTGTACTCAGGAGGATAGTAGGGGGGTGGAGGGATGGGTGGAACAAACTCCTCAAAGTCCATGATGTTGGTCAGGAAGGCATCCTGAGGAGTGGTGCATTCTGGGTTGACGGACCGAGAGCGATGTGGGGCCAGCTGGGCAGGAATAAAAAATTGGGTACATCTTTAAAAGATACAGTGTTGTGAAAAAGTATCTTCTATCTTTCTGATCTCTTATTTTTTGGCATATTTGTCACACTTACATGTTTCAGATCAGCAAACAAATTTTAAAATTAGACAAAGATAACCTGAGTAAATACAAAATGTAGTTTTTAAAGGATGAATTCTGTTATTAAGGGAAAAAAATATGCAAACCTACCTGCCCTACGTGAAAAATTTGCTGCAGTATTTGGACGACTTGCCTTAGCTGAATGAACTATGAACTCTGCTCTCTATCAGAAAATCCTGAAGGACAATGTCCAACCATCATTTCATGCCCTGAAACTCAATCACACTTGGCTTATGCAGGAGCACAATGATCCAAAACACACCTTAATGTCCATCTTTGAATGACAAAATTAAGGTTTTGGAGACTTAAATCCGATTGCGATTATCTTAAACAGGCTGTGCATGCTGGAAAAACCTCCAGTGTGGGTGAATTAAAACATTTCTGCAAAGAACAGTTGGGTCTGATGGCGAGTTTGAAAAACTCATTGCCTATTACTGCAAACGGTTGATTGCGGTTCTTGCTGCCAATGGTGGCACAACCAGTTATTAGGTTTCAGGCAATTACTTTTTCACAGAGGGCCAGGTGGGTTTGGACGTTTTATTCCTTTAATAAATCATTTAAAAACTGAATTTTGTATTTGTTTGAGTTATCTTTATCTAAATGTTTAAACATTTTTCAAAATCAGAAACAGGTAAGTGTGCCAAATATGCAAGAAAAGAAATCAGGAAGGGAGCAAATGCTTCTTCACAGCACTATATATTTTCTAATCTCTTAAGGCAGCAGTCCAGCACATTTGCAGGGTCCACATTTTAAATGTAAAATGTGCTGAATCTGTTCTTACCAGGTGCAGGAGGTCCAGGGAGAATATGTGGATACTGCAGGTCACGGTGGACAGGGTACAAATGATGGTGGAGAGAATGCTGAGACCACACGCACTGAACAAAAGGTCCTGTAGAGACGATGCATTCAAAAGAAAACAAAATCTTAGTTTGTGTAATTTTTTATGTGGAAAATGGATTTCCAGTGTGGTCAAAAAATATTCTACCTACCTTCAGCTGTTTTCTGACTGAGTGGCACCCATTATCCTGGTTGAGGACCAGCTTTTCCTCATCTGTGGAGCAGGGGTCTGTGCGTGCACAGCACACACACAGACCATTTTCCACCTAAACACATTGGATTGGTGTAAAGCACTAATCGGTAGACCAAAACTGGATATTTGCAGCTATTCCTGTCACGTTTTCCATGCATCTAAGCATGAAGGTAGAAGACGAAGCTTGCATAATATTGCTCACTGTACCTGGCAGGTGAGCATGGACTTGACCATCTGTGCATTCTGACAGGACAGCATTGAGCCAGCTAGACTGAGTATCACACACACTGCAGACAGCAGCATAAACAGTGACACCTGTGGAGATACACAGAGATGACGTTTGAGTTAGAGCGTGGCATTCAACCAAAGACCACAGCAGGATATCTCATGGTTCAAGATGCTTTCAACCAGAGTAAAGAACATGTTCAATGAAAGTGCCTGTTTTAGATCCTGGTCCTGTTTTCTGTCCTGAATGCACTGAAATCTTAAGCCTGCTAAGTGTTTTACTTCATGTGCACAGTGTAATCAAAATATAAAATATGATAGATTTTTTCATGCAGATATAGAATTGTTTAAACCACATAGTGACAAAACACCCCAGTACAAAGACCCTCAATTATCAGTTATGTAAGAATGCACATTTTAAACTCCCACTTTTATGCCAAAAAGGATGAAAAGTTTGAAATTCTCAGAAAGATTTGATGCAATGTGCTACACATACCACCAGCGTCAGAGGTCTCCTCCATGAGATTATTCCAACAATCCCCGATGCCACCACCTGGAAACAAAAAGCATGTGCACCATACCTCCTTTAGTATATCTGCTGTAACATACTCTAAATGTTGTTTGTTTTCAGTACGAGTTACACTTACAAAGAAACCAGCCCAGAATGGACAGGACTGCCTTACGCGGGGAGTGGTGGTGAAGGCCATGCTGGTGAAAGAGAAGGCCAGGACCATTGCTCCCAAGCCCAGGTGGCAGAGCCCCAGGTAAAGGAGCAGTCGGGCTCCACTAGGCCCCCGGCCAGACATGCCCCTGCGGCTGTCTGACCAACCCCGGGACCCAGAGGCTGAAGCCACGCTGCTAGAGTCTGAAGGTGAAGGCATGTTTGGCTTGTGGAGGAGGCAGGGAAAGGTTTTACGCTTACAGCGGGTTCATAAGACAAGTTGTGTGGGCAGAAGCACAGGAGAGCAGGAGAGAGAGAGACATAAATGCTGGCTTCAGAGCTCTGCTCTGTCACAGTTATGCACCAAATTCTCCACTGGCAGGTTCTGCGCAATGTCCCATGGTGCACACTGTAGTCCAGCCAGTGAGTCCAATAACTTTGTCAGCAGAAAGTTGAAAAAATGAGCTGCTACCACACAGTCGCAGGCACCATACTCACCTCATCTGACGTTTCAGCTTTTATACTTTTAAGTCCACACAGCGTCTCTTTCACCCCACTCAGTTCAGAAGCCAATGTAGCTTATATAGTACAGTCTACGCCATTCTGCTGCCCAGCCATTCTTTGATTATAACGCTAACAGGCAAACTGGGCAATTCGTTTTCCTTTTAAATCTTCACATTATTGCTATTATTACTCATTTGCTTTTTGCTGCTTCCTCCTCTCCACCTCCTCTCGTCCCTCTCTCCCTCCTCTAGCCCGTGGCATTGCGGTAACTGGAGACCCGAGCAGGCCGCAAATTCTAAAGCATCTCAGAGATAGCAGCTGTTCGCTTGTAGTTTTACTCCCAGCAGAGGCGGCATGTGGGGGTCAGTCCGTGCGTCCAGTCTTGAGGAACATCATCTGAACATGTGCGCTCCCCTCCCGCGACCTTTTTATCAGCTCCTTATCCTGTCACGGAAGAGAAAAAAAGACGGCGAGGAGATCAAAACCCTAAGATCACCCTAAGACTAATTAGCTATCCCGGCATGAACAGGAAATAAATGTTCCATCGATTTTCAAACTGCACCAAGATAGCAGCCAGGCTGGAATATTTACCAGCAGACTATCTATCTTTGTTAACTCCACCTCGGAGGTTTTTGCGGCGGTCCACACAAGCACCTAGACCCCCCTCCTCCTCCTCTTGTTCTTCCTCCTCCGCCGCCTCTTTCCTCCCTGCAGTCACGCGGGCATCCCGTTCAGCCCGTGTGTTTGTGAATGTGTGTATGTACCCCCGACGTTTACCTCACAGCCTTTCACCAGACATCACACCAATACAGCCGCTTAGCCTTCCCGTGCCCCCTCATAGCACAGCAACTTAAGTTTATCTTTCATTATCGTGTTTGCTCGCCCCTCCCCTCTGCTGCCCTCGCATCTCTTCCTCTGTTTCCAAGTCGAGCTGTGACTCTGGCAGAGGAACGGATCGTGTTTGCAAACCACAACCTGCCCTATACGTGATGACAAGGCACGCAGAACGTGCAGCCAACTCAGTGATGCGGCAGAGAGCGTTAACACAGTCCTGGTGCTGATGCTGGGAAGGAGGGGTGGTTGCCTAGCGACAGGATCCAGCTTTTACTGCTGCAGCGACGATTAAAACAACAACAACAACACACACAAAAACCCGAAGCAGTTGCTGTTGCTGTTGGCAGGAGAGTTAAAAAAGAAAGAAAGAAGAAAGAGAAATAGACGGTAGCAGAGATTCTTTGTAGTGAGAATGTGTGTCCTGTAGGTGGCTCGTCTAAAACAACCAGCGATGTGTCTATCATATGTAATGTTTCTTGTTCGTTCAAAGACCCTCATAGTGACTAACAGATCTCGGTGTCAGATTCTCAAAATAAATACTACGGGACTTACAGGACGTTACAATTATACTTGGATGATAGATTTTCACAGTAAAAGCCCTAATTTTTTTGTGTGTGGAATGTCCAGTATGCTTTAACCACAGACAAAATAAAAGATGGATATATCTTCCAGGTCGGAAAAACAAAGCCAATGTGGAAGTGTTGAATACTCTGAGAAGGTGATAACTTTCAAAAACACTTCCAGTTCTATAGAAGTCACAAAACTGCTTTCTAACTTGAACTCTGCCAACAGTTTCCTGCTGAGTTTAAAGGCTTGGCCACTCATGTGGGGTCGTATTGAATAATAATAATTTTTAATGAGTGTATTTTGTAAATCGTTGTCATATTATGTCTCAAAATAAATCTGTGGTGTGAAACCACAGCTCATTGGCAAACAATTTCTTAATCTCAAGTCCTTAGCCAATGAGCACAGTTTCACAGTCAGTCATCACATCGCATCATTTTTCTTTTTCTTTTGGAAACCAAGATGGTGATAGCAAATCTCAAGGCTTCACAAACCAGTGGGTGATGTTATGGTAGCTATGTGCATCTTTTATACTCACTATGGCTTAAATGCATTTGAAATTTCCAAAATAAAAGCCCCCCCACTCAGGCATGTCAGACAATGCCCCCCCCGCCCCCCCAAAAAAAACCCTAAAATAAATAAATAAATTAAGTCCCCCAATTTTAAAGAATGCTTTAAAATGTGCTTTTGAAAAATTAAAGCCACCACTTACTTGTTGAATATCATGAAATTGCTTTCACACTGAAGAATTTTCAAAACAAAACAAAACCCCCCAACAACACAGTTTTATAACCTATGTCCCTCTTTTCTATGAAGTCTATGGACTAGGACACAGAGTTTAACATCGCTTAATTGATGTCATTTAAGGTATTTAATTAAAGAAAAAAAGATGTTCTGCCTAGCTAAGTCTTTCACAATACAACACTGTATCCATATTTTTCCTAATTGATAACATTATGATTTTCAGTATTGAAATTGTGCAGCTGTCATTTCACTATTTCACATATCTGGGGTCACTGGTCTGTTCCTGAGGTTTCCTTCATTTTTTCCCTTTAAATGGACTCTGAGGGGAGCTTTTCCCTTATCGAGATTGAGAATCTAAAGATAGAGGATGTTGGATGCTGTACAAACTGTAAAGCCCCTTAAGGCAAATGTGAATACAGAGAATAACATTTATGACAATGCTAAACTAGGAAAGAAAAACTATTGCATCACTGTACCAACAGGAACTTAAAAAAAATACAACAAACAATATATTTATAGTTTTGCAATTTTATTCATCAAGCGTCAGGTCATGCATACAATCTGGCAGGTGTAAGAAAACTAACAATGTGGAGGAAATTACAAAAGAAAACAGAAATTTAGAGCGTGTGTGTAGAGAAAAAAAAGATCTGTCAGAATCAGATGAAGACCTGCAATCGGTTATTTTGAACGATCATCAAACTGCCTGAACAGAGAGGCTGCCATGTCAGATGTCGCTAATATGTGGTAGCGTTTAGTAAGAGCTTTCCCAGGCACTTCAGATAAAAGGCAAGACCCACTAAATCAATTCGCTATGAGGGACACATGAACACGCTGCTGCTTCCTAGGCTTTTACATCCTGCCCATTCACTTGCTTAATCCATCTTTTTTTCTCCCATCTCTCCACTCATCTTCTCATATTGCACTTATCACTGTCCATATCTAATATCTATATCCACATTCTCAATCCATTCATCTATTAAAACAAGGCGTTGTTTTACACAGAACTTGTTTCACATTCAAGTCCAGCGACCAACTTGTTTCATCATTAATGTGTACGTCATGTTTTACCTTCGCTCTAACAATTCTGGTCATTTTATCCTTTAGAACTTAAAGCAGACCTATCATGCTTTTCCTTTTTGTTATGCATATGCCACTGTGCTAATGCCAAAACTTATAATAATGAGGTCACTGTTTTTGCAATTCATGTGAGCCAAAAACTCAGTTTTATACATGTCAGAGCCCACATATTCCTTATGTGGTTGACTTGGACACAGATATCTCTGTAAGCACAGTAGCCCCACCAACCTGCGGTTCAAGTCTTTTGTTTGCAGTGGGCAGCTAATGTGGCTTCAAGGGAAGGTCTGCACAAAGGTCACACATTAAAAAAAGGTGTGAATCATGTAAAGCTACTTTAGCAGAGACCAAGACTAAAAAATATGAATTTGGAAATTTGCATAATAGGTCCTCTTTAATAAATTTGAATTCCCCTGTAGTATTTAAACCTCAATTTCTCAGATGCTTATGACCACTTGAACTCTAAATAAAACCCTGTGTCCATCAAGTGAATCAAAACAGACCACATTAGTGTTTTACGGCCAACTGAGCTCCATAAAGCTACTCCTGCACATGCTCACACATTAGAAATGAATGAAATGGTAGCATTAAGAGACAGCTGCAGTTCTTTTAAGTGCTGGTGTGCTGTTGTAGGAGCGATAATGTAAGCGAGAAAGATATACGGTTCAGTGACAGCAATGTGTGCCATGGTGGGGACCTTTTTTTTTTTTTTTTTTTTTTTAAAGGTCTCGGAATCAGACTCCAACTTTTTGTGGAATCATGTTTATCGCAGTAGATGTCACATAAAGGATATGTTCAGTCTGAAAAACTGGGGCTGCTTTATCCATATATTATTTTGGAGACAGCAGAATTCTTGTGGAAGAACTTATAAAGGGAGTATAGTGTAGTTTAACAGAGCTTTAGCACCTCTCTGTCGTTGATATTTGCAAACCCTGCCACATTTTTCCTTGTCAACACAGGCGCGCCTAAGTTTCTATGTTCTTTCTTCCATACACTAGTGAACTCATGTCTAGAGAAGAACGCACTTGGAGGATTTTTTCTCTGTGCTGCTGGTGATTTTCACCTGTTGACCTCCGGGGCCCTGACAAACAAACAGACGAAAAAATTACGTTACCGTCATACAGTATGTAGAGCATGCAAAATTACTTTTTATAGCGCTGCATTCCTGATCTTGTGTTTTGACTTACTGGCTTCTTGCTGGATTGTTGTAGTATGTCTCGTGCCAAAGCCAGAAAAGACTGCAGGACAGATAGATTGAAACACAGAAAGAGAGAAAATATAGGTCTGTTGCATATTAACACACAACAAACATTAACAAAAAGGCTATAATAAAACAAGCTCAATGTATGGAGAAACTGCTCACCTCCTCGACATTAATGCTGGACTTCGCACTGGTCTCAAAGAACCTGATGCCGTGATCTTTGGCCAGCTGTTAACATTAGGAACAGAGATGGTTACAGGAGGACAGGATATGGGTAATAATCACTTCCTGGGTTTTATCTCGAGTAAATTTAGCAACTTTGACCATTTCCCAAGCATTCCTGTCTGCTAAAGTTTAACAGGGAGGAATCCATGCAATATTCTTTCTCAAAATGAAATCTTTGCAAAGTAGCCCCACAAATGATTAATTTTCAATCCATCTACTCATGTGTATCTTACCCTGGATGATAGTTTAACTACCATCAAAGTAAACCTACACCTCTGCTGTTTCATTACAAGTAAAAAAAACGCAAGCGACATCTTACCTTTTCTCCTGTCTCCTTGGAAACTTTCCGCTTTGTCTCAATGTCACACTTATTACCTAGTAACATCCGACTGACCCCAGCTGATGCATTCTGGGAAAGAGGGAATGTGATTAACTGATCAAAATGACTTCAGCAAAGTGAAAGAGAGCACAGAGAGCAAAAACCTCAGAGACACTAATAGCAGCTGTTTGTCAGCAGAGCGGTTTCTCCCTTTAAACCAAGACCATTTCCCTGAAATGCTCCATTGCCATCTTTCCGCAGTTCGTCAGTGCTGCCGTCTACAGTTTGTTTACAGGCAAAACAAGCAAAACAAATCTCTCAGAGTCGCTGACAACTTGCGGGCCACAAATACATGAAATCATAACAGTTGCTTTATGAAAATATGACTGAATCATTCATATGTTTAACAGCTGTGAAAACAGCTATAAAAGCGATTTTCAGTTCAGCTCAGTTGTGATGCTTACATGAAAGTGTTTAAAAAAAACAAAAAGAAAATGAAGAAGGTAAGCAAGTGCCATGTATATCTGTAAACAATGACACTGGTTATGCATTTATAGCTATAATATGTTCTTAATTTTACTTGATGTAAAGATATTGCATATTGTCTGTTTAATTGGAATATTAAAATGGGCAGCATTCACTTATTGAAAAAGCTTCTTATAGTTTTGTAATTAGTCTCATTAGGTTTTATTTTTATTTCATTTTGAGTTTTTGCTTCTAAATCAGTTTAGTTTCAGTCAGTTTGCCCATTTCAGTTCATTTTTTATTTATGGAAAAGTTTCTATTCATTTCAGTTTTACTTTTAGTCTTTGTTATTATTCCTGTGTGTGGAGGGCATATGCCAGTGTCAATAAACACATCTGTCAAAGCCTCTCAAGGCAAGTTTTTATATCTTTTTTTAACCAAAGTAACACTCAAGTTCACAAAATCATTTGTTAGCTTTAGCTTGTTTCAAAAGTCTAGTTTTTATTTTATTTTAGTTAATTGATTTTTTTAACATCTAGTTTTAGTTCAGTTTTAATAATCTTGCTTCCTGCATTATCTTTAGTTTTTCTTGAATATCTGAGCAACATTAAAAATCCAACTAAGAGTTCCCGGGTGCGGTGCCTATCCCCAGCTGCCACTGGGTGGGCAGAGGTCCAGCATGGGGCTAACAAAAACACATA